GGGGGGCGGCGTGGGGAGGAGGCGTGAGGTCTCCATCTCCCCACATACCAGCAAGTCCAAGGGAACACACCAGAGCCATTGTCAAGCAAAAGAGGCCGCCCTGGCTCTACCTGTCAGATTCCTGGCCCCAGTGTGTGCTCCTCACTGAGGAGCCCAGAAACCAGCAGCAGCAGCTAACAACACTACTCAGGTAGGAATGTACCTACAGGGTGGGAAGAGACAGCCAAGTGGAATTCGGGTGGGGTCGGTCAGAGGAGAAGGGAGAAAACCTCCCAGGCTCAGGCGGCTCAGCAGAGTTCTTCCAGGCAAATCCAGGGGCCAGCCAGGTTCCCCCTGGAGAGGGAAGGGTGTGCCACTCAGGCCCCAGGAAACCTCTCAAAGGCATGACCCCAGGCCACACAAACACCCAGGGCTGCTAACTGGACTGACCTGGTCACCACAGCCACCTCCCTGACTTCTCCTAGACTACGCCAGGCCCACCAGCAGCGCCCCTCCCAAACTCAGCTGCCTCCCCTGCCCGGCTCTTGCCTCCTCCCCCCCTCCCCTGCAGCACACTTGTGGAGCCCTCACCCAGGACCCAGTGGAAAATTTCCTTCCCTTTATGACTGTACTTAAAACACACATACTCCATTCTTTATTCTGAATCGACTCAGCAGAGCGGCTAGACTGTGTCCCACCCCAGCCGGCGCGCGCACACACACACACACACACACACACGCAAGCGCGCACACACACACACAGCAGGGGCCACTGGACTTGCATGCTTTATGAGCTGGAAAGGAGAGGAGAGATGTTTTCCAGCTGCTACTCCGCCTCTCGCCATCCAAACCAGTGTCCTGAACACTCCCAGACAAGCTCTCCCACGACCCTCTCAAGGCCCTCGATAACCACTGCTCCCACTTTGTACCGAGTCTCTCTGATCAAGACACAAGTCCAGTTTGGAATCGTCACTGTGCTGTGTGACCCGTGGCATCTTTGTTCTTCTTGTGACAAATCTACAACCCCCTCCTCGCACACGTTCAAGGAAGAAAAAAAAAAAAGCCTTCCTGTGAATTCTCACAGCTATGTGATAAGTGATCCCTCACACACGCCACCTCCTGCTTGCTATCAACACCCTCCAGTACAGCTCCTCCGGGGAGGGTCACCCCTTCCACTTTCTTCTCATTTCCCCCCTTAAATCCACCCACAGTTGGCAGTCCAAGAAGCTCCATTAGCGCTGGCCTGAGACACTCAAGGTCAGTCTGGGTCTCAGGGAAAGAATGGACTTCTTGGGGGCAGGAGGCGATGCAGGCTCAGAAACTTCAAGTTTCTCCTGCAACTTTCTGTGCACATGGCTGGCAACTTTTTGTGGGTTTTTGATTGTTTGTTTGTTTTTAACTACTCAACATCCCAGCGGTTTAGTTGGCATTCCAAGTTTTAGGAACCCTTTCCCCCTTACCCCCAGCCCTTCCTCCCGCCATGGTGAAAAGGGAATTTTACCAGATGTCAAAAGGACCCACAGGGGCCTCATCCCCTAAAAGGAGAGCAAAGGCTGCAAAGGGTTCGTCCAGCCACTGCGGGGCTGGTTTCTCTGCAGGGCATCTCCCCCTCGGCTAGGTCGGCGCGCTCACCCCAAGCCCGGGCAGGAAAGAAGTAACGGGGTTCGCCCGGCCACCCGGAGCAGCTGGCAGCATCGCGTCCCGGGCTGCCGCGCGGGAGTGGGCGCTGCGGGGGCACCCACGGGGACACCCCGAGCGCTTACCTATGTCGGAGTTGCAGAAGGCTTCCTGGGGGTGGCTGGGCGAGCATGTGCACGCCTCGGCGCCCCAGTGCCCCAGGCTCCAGCTGCCCAGGAGCACGACGAGCCCGAGCCAGGGAGTCATTGCCGCTGCGGGGGCTGCCGCTCGCCTCTCCAAAGTTGCGGTGCGCGCCGGCGCCGGGGCTGCTGCGGCCGGAGCTCGTCCGCCCGACCGGACGGGGCAACTCTGACCTCGGGGCGCGCTGCGCTCCGAGTGCCCAAAGGGCCGGGATGG